TGGGGCAGTGGGGGCAGCAGGGATCACCCCCCCACCTGTAGCCAGTCAGTGGGGGCTTTTTTTAAAGAGCCGGAAGCTAGGGCTGGGCAGGGCAGCCATCAGGGGCCTGGGGGAACAGGCAGCGGGTAGGGGAGCTGGGGGAGCAGGCAGGGGATGAGGCCTGGCAGGGGTCCCCCAATGGTCCCCTCCCCCCCCTCTCCCGCCCCTACTTACCAACACAGAGTTCAAGTCCAGCTCCCTGCTGCAGCCAGCAGGGACTGCCCGAATTGCTGAAGCTCTCCGAATTTTTTCCAAATCAGAGAGCTTTGAATCGATTTGGACCTTTTAATTGGTCTCCTGATTCGTTTCAGATTCGGAGATTTGGCCGTCGACTCAGGCGGAATCTCCTCCAAATCGAATTAGCACCCAAAGCTTCTCACAGCCCTAATGGACACCTCCAGGTGGACAGTGGGGAAGGGGCTGGGGTTGCACTGCTCTGGCCCTTTCCCTGAGGGCACCTGGAGGTGCACATGCAGCCACTGCTGGCCATGGAGCCTGGGCTCACATTACACAGGCTGCAAACGGCTGCACTGGGGTCCGGAGCCTGGCCCCACTCCATGGCTGGTGGTGAGTGCATGCGTGCCTCAGTGCACACGGTGGGGAAGGGGCCAGGGAAGCACAACCCTGGCCCCTCTCTTGCCAGCAACGAGCTAGGTGGGGGCTCTGCAGACCTCAATGCAGCAGCTTGCAGCCTCCCAGCTGCCTGACACAGCTGGCCTGGGCTCTGGGAAGGCCTTTGCCTCTCTCCACAAAATCTAGGCTGCTAGCGGCAGGAGGCAAGGAGGCTGCATACAGCTGCACTGAAGTCGGCTGAGCCCTGGTCCGACTCCTTGCTGGTGGCAGCTGCACACGTGTCTCTGGGTGGACAATGGGAGAGAAGCCAGGAAGGCAGGGTACTGCAGGTTGGGAGTGAGGGGCACTTGCAGAGCCAGCGGTCTGAGGGTTGGGAGTGAGGCGCAGCAGCAGGATGGGGGCAGGGCTGTGGTTTGGGAGTGAGGGGAAACGGAATGGGCAGCAGCAGAGCACCAGCATATCACTGCCCTCCACAATCATATACTCCATCCCCCCACTCCCGACAGGTGTCCTCTTTTTTGGAACTGGAAACATGGTAACCCTAACTCGTATAAAGTTTGACGCCTCCTTGTGCTCAAAGGCATGCAGCCCTTCCAATGAGATGAATCTCCATACTGTAAGATAATACTGCTCCCTAACACATTCTCTATCACATGGATTATCCACCAGTCAGATGAATCTGTTCAGATTTTTCTATGTGAGGGTCACTGAGCTAAAGCCATTAAGTATATGGCAGTCGTAAGTATATGGCTAAGGCCTATCTGCCCCGTAGCTCCTCTAAAACTCTTGTGACCCATGGGCTGTTCTAAGTTGCATCAAAACAGCATCCCCAAACATACCAAATGTGTAAACCTCAGGGCAGTGGTTCTCAACTTTTTTGGACTCGACACTATGCTCACTGGACTCAGGGCACCCCTCCATAACTTTTGTGAATTGAGTGGTGCCCAATTTCAAAAACTAATTCATATATTGCAGTGCTTTCCTCCCTGCAGAAGGACTGAGCAATGGGAGTGGAGGATGATTCAGGCAAGGACCTACTTCACCTACCTGCTTATCTCCTCACAACTCATTTCTCTCCTTACACTTTGAGGCACCCTTCAAAGATCTGGAGGCACCCTCACTCAGATTTCCCGACACTCTGGTTGAGAATCACTAGTTTAGAGCCACTAACTTAGAGCAACAGCACCATGGAGTTAAAGGATCACCAACACTATCTGCTGCCCATAATTAAACATAGCACAGTTGTACCCATGCAGGTTACTGCTAGTCAAAGCAAGGTCGAAAGGAACACTTATGGGCAGCTAGTAAGCCCCTTATTTTTACTTCATTGAAAAAAGAAGAATTATAAAAGGGCTTCTAATTCACCTATATTTTTCAAAGACTCTTTCATCTATCTTTATGAAAGAATAGTTCAGATCCATCCAGCCTCACATTTACTACAGCTCTACAGGAGGTTTCTTACAATGACTGCAGCCAAATCCACTGGATCCTGGAAACTAAGCCAGGACTTAGATGAGAAAAACCCAAGGATTTCCTAAAATTGGTGCTATGAACCCTTACGCACAACTACCAAACAAAACCAGAAACACCAAAACAGCCTACAAAGTGCAATGGGACGTGAGGGCATTGCCAGTGCCATATAACTGAAATGACAGAGAAGTAGTAGGCAACCGTTGATCCTCTGGAGCATGGTGTACAGTACACTTAAGAGGTCTAGTCACCAAAGTCTTTGATGCATATGCCTAGGCAAGAGTATGGAGGAGTGAAGGCTGCCAAAGACCTACCACCTCCCTCCATTAGGCCACTGAGACAAATCCAAAAACCAGACCAAGCCCAGACATTCAGTGCCTTGATGGCTGTAGCTTCTGCCAGACAGCAACAGATAAGAACTGCTGCTGACTGCCTACGGCCTCAGCAAGGGCATGCTTCTGTCAGTGTTATGTCTTGTACACTGTCTCCAACCAAGGAATACCCACAAGGTAGTGGGGGCTGGGGTTTTGGGGCACCCTATACTCGCCTTACTCTGGAGGTTGCAACATTGTGGTATTTTATAGGTGCTACCTTGCCACAAGTAGCCCCACCATATTACCACGAGGACCTCCAGTCAGATGCAGTTTACAGTCACATCCAGAGGATTAAACAGCTAATATATGCTCAACATATGCTCAGAGATTTAAATCAACTTGTGTAATGAGACAAATTTTACCAAGACAATAGCAGCTTGTAAGATGTTGCTTGGCAGCTAACTGCCATAGGTTAGGAAGCAGCACCCAGCACTTACGGGGTTGGAGTGGGTTTTGGGAACAGCAGTCTGAGAAGGTACAGTGTAAATCCACTGCTGCAGGCTGCATCTTAAAGAGCCCTCTTGCTTTTAAGCTACATTTCAAATAACACAATCCAAAAGGCGAGACCATCCACTTACTATTTACAGTTGCTTTAGCAACTGGTGCTGAAAACAATAGGAAGCAAATGCCAGGCTATTCAGGGACTCCTACTTTGGCAGATGAGCTGCTACAGTGACCTTTGCAATACGAGAGCAAAGAAAGATATAGAGGGGAGTGTAATTAATAACAGAATTGAAATGACTGTAATGGAGAAAAAAACCCTAATCTTGTTTGTGCACTATGTGCTCTATTAATACTGGTTTGATATGGTAATAGCCTCTTTCCCATATACCAAACCATCACCTATGCTCTGTTTAGCCATCACTATTTTAAAGCCATCACTATTTCTCAGTTACTGGGACAGCTGCTTGCTGACTGTCTGTGCGTGCAACATTCAGTATTCAACTTTTATTAAATCAGGATTCTCAGCTACAAATAGGGGTAGAGAGAACCCATTTTTATCTTTGATTATCCAAGTACAGATCAAAGTCTCTGCCATACAATAACGCTCCAAGGGCTTTTGATAGCAAAAGGATGTTTGTCCGGTCACCATAGAGAGAGCAATCTAAAACATCCTGTCTGTAGCATGATAAGGTATCAGGATGAGAAGAGGAGATGGGGTGCTGGGGGAAGGGTGAGGGAAATGAGGGTTAGCTACTTTGTTTAAAGGACTTGTACAAAGTTTGGCAGATGTGAGATATTAATTATTTTTGCAGAAGTTAAGGATTGCTCAGGATTCGGGCCAAACAGACATCTGAAGAGGAAACATCCTGGAGGCTAGGCCTGGGGATCACTGTATATTTGATAGCAGCACACTGTGTGGGCTGGATATCTCCGTTTCTGGCAGAGCAAAAATATGTGTGAAGTGAAAGAGCATGTCTCTCTTTCCTCCTAGACAAGAAGGGTCAGACTGAGTGGTTATGCAAGTCCAAATCAGTGCTAGCTACCCCACTGCAGCTCAGAGAAGGCTCCTCCTCCTTGAGTGTTTCACTGCAATTCATTTATAGATTTTTTTTGAGTCGTTGAACAAGGCTAGAGGTGCCCTGCAGTAGCTAGTTAGAAAGTTATTTGATAATTTATCCTAGAAATCTTCCCTCCCTAGCAACCAGGCCTTGCTGTGATTATGTTCCATCTAGGTTGATTCAAGCACCTCCAGGCAAACTATTTCTCTGAAATCACTATACGGCTCTTCCCCCATTACACACCAAAATGTCTTCTGGGGCCAGCCTTTTCCCATAACCTTAACAAGGTTTAGGGGCTGGACTCGATGATCCTTTGGGGTCCCTTCCAGCCCAAATGTCTATGAAATCTATGAAACAATACTGCCTCACTGAAAATGCTTGTAAACTGCTGGCTACATGCAGTGTGCTTGTACTCCTTTAATTTCCTGGAACCTGTTATTGTTCCTGGGCACATCTACACGTGCAATTAATGTAACTGAATAAACTCTGTTGGAATTTGAGCCAGAATAAACTAATTCCAATGTCACCATCTACACATGTGCTTAAGTGTAGTAAATTACTCCATGGTCAGATAGTACCTGTGTCTGACAGCACTATCCTATGCCAGAGTCAATTAATCTACTGAGCTCTAATTCCAGTGCATGTGTAGGCAGTGACACTTTACTGAACAATAAATTAGTCTACTGTGCAGTAAAGTGCAAGTGTAGACAAACCTCCTGACTGTAAAATACCAGGCCAAATAAGCAAGATCAGGGCACTCTGTGCAGAAAGGTTTATTCATCCTAGGAATGTGAATGCAAAATAACTGGAGTTCAACACAGACAACAGTTTGTCCACTAGGACCCAGGCTTATATGTGTATTAACTCCCCCAACAGCTGTCAACTCTACTTGTTCGATACAATGAAGTGCTGGATGAACACCCATAGAAAGCATAGTCATTCAAATGCTGAGCTTTCTCTGAGTGGCAGCAGGTACAGTTATCTACCCCATGACTGACCTCAGCAGCTTTTCTATGGTCATCATCATTCTCTAGCATCCGGACGTCCACCCCAAGACAACGAAGGTAGCGCCCAAGTCCCTGCAGCATATTGTCGCAGACCACACTGAACTCTTTTGGAGAGATTATGGGAGAGGGGCTTGAGGCCTCCTTGACAACCTCTTTGGACTGCTGAAGGGAAAAAAAATAAATATAAGGATTGACTGACTACTGCCTTGCAAATGTCTGCTGTTTGGAACCATTCCATCAAATGTACCACTTGTCCCTAGGAGGCTCCCAGGAGGCTGGGATACATATATATATTTAGAGCACGGAATCACTGTGGTATCTCAGATATCAGAGTGCAGTAACTGAGCGTCAGTACTTTTTTAAAGATCTTTTTAAAGGTGATAAAGTATGAAGTAGGGTTGGAGTGTTGTCCACATATATTTTTATATCATTAAACCAATGCTTTTGCCTTTGTTCAGACATGAAGGAGTCAAGACTACCACTTACTCTATGACAGTACAGTGCCAAGGACAATGTGAAAACTAGCTATTATTTAGTCTTTTTCATCAGTAGGTCTCAAAATGCTTTACAAAGGATGTCAGTTTCATCATCCCAATTTTATATGGGGTACTAACGTGGCACTGAGAAATGAAGTGCACCATCCCCAAGGTCACCCAGCAGACCACAGGCAGAGCTCAGGTCTCCTGAGTCCCAGTCAAGTGCTGTATACATTAGAATACACTGGCTCTGGGTTAGTCATTTGGATGGTAGAGGTGATACTGCTGGCTCATGAGTTCACGAGACTGTTCAGTTACGTAGAATGTATTGTAGCAACAACACAGATATGCTTACATTTACAGCAGTCCCTTTTCTTGGTGTGGCCAGTAAACTCTGCTGAAACATTTTGTATTTTACTGACTATCCAGGACTAAGGAATTATTGTATATTTAAACATACTTTGGGGAAGACTGTATAGCAAAGATTATTACAATAATTAGCAACTCATGGAAACCTTGGGAGGTAGCAGCAGCATAGTCCAATGGATGAAAGGTACTAAGCGATAGTATCACCATGAGCCCAGCCCTCTGGCTACCTTAGAGAACATACAAGTTCTTACAAGTCCTTTATCTGCCACTGACTCATCAGATCAAAACTTAATTTTCCCTTTAATTTTTATAGGTGCCTACAGGGTAGGATGGTTGTATTTTGTATATTTAATATACATAAAAACAGCTTATATTTACTAGTCACATTTCAACATGTTTAAATGAAGTCAACCATCCCCAAGTTATATCAGTTGTGATTTAAGAAGCTCTGCCCTTCTTAGATACTATGTTAGTACACTTTGGGTGGGTATATGTGTTTGGGGCAGGGGGAAGTGTGCAGATGGATACATCATCAACATTGGTGGTAGAGGGATTTCTATCAGCTGAACATGTAAGCAGACCAAAGACCTCCAGCCGCAATAAGGGAAAGTTAACAATATGAAACCTGTGGGCTGATGCACTGTAAAACTAGACACAATTTAAAAATAAGGGAATTAAATGTTAAGGCAGGAAATGCAGATATGAAAGTATTAACAGCAATGGTAATTTTACTGTGTTTCATGTATTTCTAAGTGGGATAACAGAGAAAAAAGAAATATATTAAGCTTTTTTGGGAACCCCAAATCCTAGCATCAAAGGGTTAAAACACAGTAAAACAGGAAAGATCAGGGACTTTTGCTACCCCCAAGACTAGAGAAAGGGCTACAGACTTTTGACAGTCATATCTAACCAACTGGTTAAAAGGTAGGGCTAATGTATAGTCTGAAAGGATTTTTAGCTACGTACAGTTCTTTGAAGATGTTTACAAACCTGTCTGGAGGTCGATGGCATTTTTTGTTTATTTAGCAGCTTCTTTGCCCTGGATTTTGTGGCTTGTTTCTCCACCAGGCTCTCAGTGAGGTCTGAACTCAGACCAAAGGCTGCTGGATCCTCAGACAGCTTCCTATACACTTCCAACAAGCAGTATGCATCAGAAGCTGCAAAACAGAACATGGACATTCATTTGGTCTCATCCAAAACAGCAAGAGAAGCTATTTTGGTTCTCATCGATCCAAAGCGACTATATCCAATTGCTCTAAAATAGATGGAATTTATTGGTAGTGTATTTTACACCCCTTTTTCAATTCAGTGAATTGGAAACAATCAAAAGGCTGTGAAACAGAATCCTGTTGCACCAATTCAGAACAAGTAAAAACATGATAGTTTTGCCATCAGAGAATTTAGAGACAAGGTGTCAAATTCAGTTATGGCATTAAAGAGCTACAGTTCCCACTGACCGAGATTTTCAATGCCAACCAGAGTACACAGGAACACAGCATATTCATTTCAATAGGAGTCATATGGCTAAATCTCTTCCTCAGATTGGTAAATTGTAACCAGTGATAATAGTAGAAACAATGTTTGCTTGCCAGAGGGCTGTATCTAAATGACTCTACAGGGCCCTCTTTCTTACAGAGGACTAACTTAGAGCTCACCTTTCAGCAAAGGCTCAAAGCAAACCATCAGACTCTTAAGCATACGCCATTACTATACACTCCTGGAATACAGGTCCTGGATGGACAGCCCTCAAGGCATCCCTGCGCATTCTGAATTCTGCTCTAACAAGTGATTCTCTGGACATAACAATTATTTCTCAAAAAATCTGTGTGGGGTGAAATGAGGCAGAAGGAAGTACTTTTTTCCTTTTCAACTATTCCCAGAAGTTGCCCCTGAAATTGTGCTTCATCAGATAGGAATTGACTGGTAAAGACATTATTTTATTAGGGAAATAATGAATCACTGGACAGCTTATACTTCAGCTTTTGAAACCAGGTCCATAAAAAGACAAGCAAAATATGGCTTTTCTGAACAGGAATTAATCTGCTATGCCATTTTCCCTTTGGTTACTTAACTACCAGTGATGGGCACAACACCACATCTCTAGTTGAACATGGACGCAGGTCAGAGCTGCTCCACTGCACCTCACTGTAGAGTGACTGAACAATGTGGTGATCCAACCTGCATAGAGGATCTGCTCCTCGCGAAGGGGCCGTTTCTCCCAGTTGGACAGCTGCTCTGTTTTATTCAGAGGCTTTCCCAGGACATGCTGCACCAGCAGGCTGAGTCCTTTCTCTGTCTGCCTGAACCTTCTGTCCTCACAGCTCTGCTCCTGTGACAGTACATCGACCTTCCGGACATCCTTCCTCCAGTCTCTGAAGCATTTCTGTAACTAAAAGGGAATAAAAATATGAAACAGCTTTCAGAAAAGAACCTGAAATATCACATGCGTCAGTGGGGCTATGCCAGGGAATACAAGCATCTTTATCTCCAGTAAAGGTACACATGACCCAGATAGGAGCTCAGATGGTAAACTGCATGCACAAACAGTTATTGGATATTTGCTTGGCAAACACACTTGTTGGGAAGGAACTTGGTTTTGCAGGCCCTGGGAAGGGAACTGCCGCTTCACTCACTGTACCATGCCTTGAGCATGCCAAGGCATGGGATGTCTCTAACATTTGCAGAACTCTCCGCAAAGAGACCCTGATCCCAGCTGAAGCTTCTGGGTAATAACACAATGGAATAACTACATGGCAATAACAGCAACACACTGTCATCTTGCCTCCCCACACACACCACCGCTGTTACACAATGACAGTGCTCTAATCCAAAACCAGGTGCATTTTTGGTAGTGGATGAAGGCAGAGTGCTGTGCAGCATCTGGGGGAATGTTTGTTCACCAGAGCGCCCCAAGGGATGATGAAGTTGAATGGTCATAAACTACTGCAAGACCATTTCAGGCTGGACATAAGGAAGAATTTCTTTACTGTCCGAGCCCCCAAGGTCTGGAACAGCCTGCCATCGGAGGTGGTTCAAGCACCTACATTGAACACCTTCAAGAGTAAATTGGATGCTTATCTTGCTGGGATCCTATGACCCCAGCTGACTTCCTGCCCTTCGGGCGGGGGGCTGAACTCGATGATCCTCCAAGGTCCCTTCCAGTCCTAATATCTATGAAATCTATGTAGTCTACAGCTTTATGCTCTTTATGAACCCTCTACAAACCATGGCAGTTATACAGATACAGCCAAATGCTAAACTAATGGAGCTTTCTTCCCTATGGTGCTACAACTTTACAAGTCAAAAGTCAATCTGCAAGAATTAATTCTCACAAAACAGGAATATGACTGGTGTTCAAAAAACCTCCCCTTCATTCTAATTCTAATACCTTAGGAGCCACCAGTGGAAAAGACCTATTAGGTCATGTAGCTATCTCTCTGCCAATACAGGATGCAGAAAGACAATGCTGTGAAACAGTTTTACAGTTATCTCCATGCACAATCAAGAGAAGGAATTTTCCATGTCTTCAGGTTCTCATCCTTACTTGTTTATCTACTGTGAACAGGTCCACTGTGCCTTGTACCTCCCTGTTCAGGTTTTTAAAAGTAGAACACATTGCAGCAAGGCTGGTGAGATCTCCAGACATCCCATAACCTGGAAAGACAAAATCCCACAATGCGTAGCTAGAAACACTTACAATGCCTAATACACTTCAGTTAGTCTTAGCTATGTGGTTAGATAACCTGCAACAAAGGTGCAAACAGGCTTTGGTTTGGAAGAGTACCAAACTCCCTATTTCCTTCCTTTCCCAATAGAAATTCTTCCAGGTCAGGATTCAGTGTGGAAGAAGATGGATAAAACAAAAATGTCTGCATTGTAACCTTGCCCCTGCATTGTCTCAGTTCCTCTCACCTGCAGCAAAGTCACTGTGCAGCAAAAGGCTAACATGGCAGCTATGTGACTCGCCTCAGTCTCTAGCTGTCTAGCAGATGAGATTGCAAATTTGGCTTTGAACTCCAGGTTCACGGCTAGTAAAATACGGGGCCACCTAACAGATCTGGTTCAGGGCTAGTCTGAAAAACTGTGGATGTGGTGTGACAGGGGTTAGCTCAGAGTGTTTAAGAAATCCAGACCTGGGAAGGTCACTGCCATTAGTGTCAGGTTAGACTCTTCACTGCCACAGCAGGCATTTAATATATATTGTTCCAGATGCTGACTCCAAAATGAATGGATCAGAGTGAAAAACTTGAAGTGGCAGATCTAAGACCCTGCTTTAACTGACCTACATAACCTCAAAATGGGGTAATCCCATGTGTAGGAACCAGGACAGATGGAGCCCCTTACTGTCCCTCTAGATCAAGAGTAGGAGAGGGGATGACAAACTCTTCCAGGGGGTCAGTTGCAGGGTTGAGCCTTGGTGAAAGCAGCAGTTACCTAGCTTAGTGATGGCTGGGTCTGAAAAGAGTGTCTGGATAAAGTGAGCAAGCTTCTCCTGCTCAACCTCCTCCTGGAACTGCAGTAGATCCAAGAGGAACACCTGGTCCTTGACAGCGAGCTGAAGCAAGGAGACACGCGACCTCCCCACACTGCCAAACGAAGGCCTCCACTCCATGTCAATGCCAATTACCTGGCCAGGCTGTAACACAAATGAAAGACATTCTTTACTAAGGCTTGTCTCCACAGGGAAATGGTTTGGGCCTAACTGTAGTGTTTCCTCTGGGGAAGCATTATTCCAAACAGACCTATTTTACTACAGAAGAATCACAGTGCTTTGGCAGAATGTGCACCTGAGACCCTATTCTGGACTGGCAGCTTCCAGTCCATTTTCCCATATGGGCTAGCCCTTAGGCCTCAAGGATTTCCTGCAGGAAATGCCACCAACAGTGCTCCATCTGCTCTCACTGGCCTGGGGTCAGGTGCATGTGAAGATGATGGACAAAATCCACCCCATGTTATGTGATTCATGGGGATCTCTCTGCTCCACAGCATGACCAAATACACACCAGAGCAACACCTACCTGCAGCACCTGTTCCCTGCACTGCTGCATCTCTTCCCAAGTCTGCAGGAAGTGAATGTTCTCCCTGGGAATGGGCAGCTGGTAATAATTCTTCTTCCTGTCCTCTTCATAATCATCAGTTCTCTCAGCATCTTCTACCCTATAAAAAACACAATCCAAATGCTTTTCACAGGGTCATCATGGGAATTTCATTTCCGATTTGTTCCATACATGCATTACAGTTCAGCTCTGCGATGAATTCCGTTACACATGGGGGTTACAGTCCGAATGTCGACATGCATTCACAACTCTGTTTGGACATCAACCACGGGGTGTTTTGGGGGTAAGCACATACGTGTAGGTGGAATTCTGGTCCCAGTTGTTCATGTTCTAGGGTACAGAATTTTTTTTTTTAAATAAAAGAACATCACTAAAATCCTAGAGGCCCTTATTTCACCCACATATTCTGCAGGCCTCTGTCATTTCACTCATTTTTTACACTTTCCTGACCCTTTCTCTTCCTTTCGTTTTTTGCCCAGCCCCATCCTCCTTCCATTTACTCACCACCATAAAAATGGCATAACAGGAGGCATGATTGTGGGATCATGCATTAGATCCCATCTCGTCTTATTGCTGGAGAAGGGCAAGCCCAATCCTGGGCTCTCCCTAAACAGACAAGAAGCAAGCTCCCACAGACAGGATCACTCTCAACTGAGGGGCTCACAGCCATGGGGTGCCCCATGTACTCCAGCAAATGGGAGACATAGCTGCTGCAATCTCCCTACCATGGAACCCCTCATGGCAAAGAGATTGTAGCTACTGTGATCCCCCAGCCACAGGGGTGTGTACACAGCTGCTGCAATCTTCCCACCACAGGGGTGCACCACAACCCCCCGCAACTGGGAGACCACTGTAGCTATAATATCCCAGCTGCCGAGGTGCTCCACACACACCCAGAGGTGGGAGATTGCAGCCACACCCTGCAGTTGCTGGGACCCAGAGTCCTGCAGCTGTGGACAAGGAGTTCTAGCGGCACCCAGTGGCTGCAGAGGCCCAGCATCCCCAGTAGCTGCAGGGTACTGCCGGGACCCGGAGTCTGCAGCTCCTGAATGCTGCAGAGGCCGAGAGTCCACTCAGCTGCAGGACTCCCAGCCCCAGCTTGGCACAGTGCACTCCTGCAGCTGAGAATGTGGTCAGCTGGCAGGGCTCCCAGCCACAGGGGTAGACCCTGCTACATATTCAAATTAGAGCTGGATAGCAACCAGCTATAAAGTTAATATACATTTTCAAGGTCTAACTTTATAACTGGTTGGACCTTTCTATGGCATGACAAGTACTTTGAACATACAGCTGGTCTCAGTTAATTGCAGAATTAACCAGTTAATTGCACAATGCCTGTAATGTGTAGAGGGGGCCTCAGAGAACAGCACGTGTTTAATTAATGATGCTCATGACCACAAAACTTTACTAGGAGACTAGAAAACCCCCTCACCAAAGCCCAGGCTTAGTTCATTTATCATCATTACACACTTCTCTTTCCCAGAATGGATGCGACCTGACAGCCTACAAAGTTAGGTGGCAAGTTCCAGATTCTAGGATTCCACATTATAAATACTTGGTTCTCGGCTCCCCACAGCAGTCCCAGGCATCTGGTAGTTCTCATGTCGTATCGCAGTCTCTGACTTGCTAAGAGTCAAAACCAGAGTTCCATTTATCTCTTTAGAAAGGAACATGTTCTAATAAGAAAATCACAAGCTGCTCCAACTAAGGTCTCCAACTAAGAACGCCAGGATCTACTGCTTTGGTATCAGCGGCTGCGTCCTGCACACAGCTCAGAATGGAATGACTCACCATGCACGCTTCCAAGAGAACGGAAGGGTTTCATGGACTTCTCCTTCCTATGGAAATCCCTGCCTGTCCCCTGACACTGTACAAGAACATTTGCTTTCTGTGGTACAGGGTTGGAAGAAGCAAAACCCAACACTGCTCCGACATCTCCCTCCACTTCAGGGATAGGTTCAATGCTGGACAGACTATGATCTTACTGTGCAACTCTCCCAAAGTAAAGCTTCAGACAGTGCCACAAAAAAATTTAATGTGAACACATCAGCACCCTGCAGCTGTTTGAGAGATGCCTGCAGAAGCAGCTTTTGTGCGTTATCATTGATTTCCTACAACAGGATCTTACACAGCACAATTTCTTTTTCATAATGCAGCAGAGGCTCTTGAAATAGTTTTGGAACTGGAAAGTCAGCACATTGCTCTGGTGTCCCATCCTAATGATGCAACTGGAGGAAAGTAAGCATAATAAAACAAAAATCCAGCTATTTTTCACATATCACGAATATCTGGATAGTCTCGTTCCCACAGAGACTTTAAATGGCTTATTATTTGAGAAAATATTTACTAACCTTGTGTTTAGGGGACTGCATGACTAATTTTGTAGCATGGCAGCTTTGTGCTATACAAACATTAGCTTGCATAGACAGTCTGTGTGCATGGGGAAGTCAATATTTGTGTAAAATATTTAATGAAGGTGTGAAATCTCAGGTCTCGGGAATATTCTCATCTGCACAGTTCAGGAGTGGCATGTGGTATGACCAGTAGCAGGGGTGATTTCATCATTCATATTCTGATATCATCTCTTACCTTTACAGAGGAAACACCCACTCTGGAACCTGCTGCAACAATATTTCAGCAGCTGATATAAGTGAAGTGCCAGTGCTCTATACAATTCAAACACCTTACAGTAGAAGGTAGTAGTATTCCCATTTTACAGTGAGGAAACAGGCATGAGGGGCTTCACAGCCATCCAAAATTCCTGGAGAATGGCAGAGCCACAAGAAGATCCTAGGGTTCATGACTCCGTGCCTTGTTCTACCCACCCAATCCTACTGCCTCTCTTGTGCATCCAGACAGCGCTCCCTCTAAGCTATGTGGCGTGTGCGGCCATGCTCATGCCGTGCATGCCACACAACGTAGAGGGAAGGCTGCATGTAGATGAAGTGAGATGACTGGCACTCTTAGTTCTGACACCTGTTTCTTACTTGACCCCCTGTCCTAGGACTGTGCTATCTGTTTTGTGGGTTTACAATGTACACAAGGAACAAAGTGGATGTGAAAGACCATGCGGTGTCTTTAAGGCACAAACCCACCTCAGAGACAGCCTCCTGTAGTCACAGACTTCAGTATCTCCTGAGTGCCACTCGTGGGCTACTCTTCCCAAGGTTGCCATATCTGCCATTTTTGCTGGCCTTGGCTGGCCAGTGAGGTGATGGGGGAGTCCCCCAACTCCACCTATATGACAACCAGGTTCATGTGCTAAATGGGCAGGTGTTTTCTCTGCTATATGGGCCACTTCTCAGGGAAGGAGTCATGTATTGTCTGAGAGAAGCACATGTTGTCAGGGAGGGCAATGTTGAGAAAATAATTACTTCAGTGTAAAATTTATTGATTATATGTGCACCCCAAAACTGCACCACTGAAGTCAGTGGGAGTTCACTGTTGTCTTCAACAGGTCACATAAGCTATTGGACAAGGCTTCAGATGTCTAACTGGATAAACATAATTCTTACAGAGCCAGATCCAAAGTCTACTGAACTTAATACAGAGTGACATTTACTTCAGGGGCTTTTGGATCCAGCCCAAACTGACAAAGAGGACTTTATGATGACTTTAAGTCTCTCAGGGAGGGGAAGCAGAAAAGTATGATTAGGGAACTTCAGGCAATTTAAAATATTTTCCTCTTTCAGGAATATAAGCCTCATCAGTGTCACTACAGTAAACTCTGGTTAATTTGTCACTCCAAGGAATTGGTGATGGTTTCTAATTATCCTTAAGTGACTAATTATCAGTAGTTAACAATTTTCAACTTTGCATGATGTATTTTGCCTTCCATATTGACTAGGTAAGGAATGAATTCTGTCATTCACCAGGAAAAACTACACTACAAAAATTCCAAGTGCAAACTGTATACGCTTTGGTTTGCTATATGGAGAAACCGTACGATTATGCAGATAAATGCTTAACGTCTAGTTTCTTACTATAAAAATTCAGTGTGTTCACATCAGAAGAACTACATGATGGAGTAAAATAATCAAAGCTTTTGACTTTGCACTCTTACTTTTGCCAAAATAGAAGGCAGTTTTGAGAACCGGAACAGTTGATCATCTATGTCTTGTTGAGGCATGAAAAGCTGAAGAATACCTAATGCTTTAAACACAGCATCTGTCTTGCTTTCTAGGGAGAGTGCAGGTCAGTACCTTTCAAGCCAGGAGCAAATTCGTTTATTATTTAGCATATATATACATTTGAAAATGAGTTAATACATTTTAACAGACAACTCATTACCTGAAGTATTTTGTATACAAATCAAGGACTAGCAGTGATTCTGTATACAGGGTAACAAAAGTATAGTGACAAGTTATCCTAATGATTGCTTAATCAGATTTCACTGTATTTAGATATAGCACATTGTGGTACCAATTACAGGCTGGACACAAAGTTTGTGCGGCATGAGGTATAGTTAGATCCCTTCCATTTCATTGCATTTACTCTGCAGTAGAGTTCTGGCAAAGAGACTTGGAGAATCCTGGTCCTGTACCACGGCAAAGCATCCCATCCCATGAAGACCAGAACACTTTGGTGCGTGCTTAATCTGTGCCTTCTATGAGTGTTCCCATGCTTGTGGAAAGCAAACATCAACCATGCACAGTCAAAGACATGTTACCGTGACTATACGGTGAAAATTCTTGCAGAATTCTCCCACCCTAGAAGCTGAACAAGCTGCATCCTTCAACACTGCCCTACAACAGATTATTTTATGCAACATGGCAGCCCTGATGTGGTGACTAATATGTATTAGGGCTGTACGAAGCTTTTGTCCCTGATTTGATTTGGCAGAGATTTGGCTCAATTCGATGGCCAAATCTCCGAATCCGAATAGAATCAGAACCCTTCCCCCACCCCGCGCGCACCCCCTGGCTCAGCGACTGGTCCTTCCTGGGTCTGGGGGGGCACCTGGGGTCCCCCTGAGGATGATTGCCAGGCAAGGGAGGTGCGGGCACCCCCGCCATGCGCTCCCCGATGGACCCAAAAGTGAACTGAAACTACTTTTGGTCCACTTGTGGGTTTGCCGCCAAGCACACAGGGCCACCGCCCCGTGCTCCTGTGGGATTCCCCATCCGCCCCAGCATTGCAGCATTCATGAGCCGCTCCTGCTACCTCGAGGTATGTAGAAAAAGCATTTAAAGCTGTGTCTACGTCTGAATCGCTGATTCGCTGAATCAGCATCGAATCATCATATTTGGATTCGGCTGAATTGAATCAGGGACAGTGATCTGAATCACCATCCCCAGTTCAGGCCGAATCCGAATCAAATAGGACCCATTTTGCACACCCCGAAAATGTATTACATAAAGCAAGGTACTTACCTCTCCTGGATCTTGAGTCTCTGAAGCTCGTCAGCCACTCCATAAGGTAGGTTCTCCTTAGGGAAGTTATAATGGAAAGCCCACCTGGCTGCAGTGTTCAAATCACAATAACTGACCAGGAGTTGGATCAGCTGCTCTTGTAGCCACCGATTGTCCCCCACGGTGCTCTGTGAGGAAAACATATGAACAGAGTCTGGTTGTGCAGGTTCCATCTTGAGGGCATGACTGTGAATTTCCATGGATAAGGCATCACAAGAGGAACTGTACAGTATTGCTTTCTTATTGAAGAGGGGAAGAAAGAACAAGAATGAATACAGGCTGGGGAACTCCCTTCTCGTCAGTGCAGAGGCAGAAAAGGATCTTGGAGTCATCATTGATGCCAAGATGAACATGGGCCGGCAGTGTGGGGATGCAGTCAGGAAGGCCAAATGCACCTTGTCATGCATCCACAGATGCATCACGAGCAGGTCCAAGGAGGTGATCCTCCCCCTCTGTGTGGCACTGGTCAGGCTGCA